TGTCGAAACTCCAATGTCATAGCCGCCTGGAATGTGGCTGGGGCATTCGTAAGGCCAAACGGCATGACCAGCCATTCGAAATGCCCATATCGGGTTCTAAACGCGGTCTTGTATTGGTCCTCCGGGCGAATCTCAAGTTGGTGATAACCCGACTTGAGGTCCAACTTGGAGAAGAACTTGGCGCCGCCCAGTCGCTCCAGGAGATCGTCGATGCGTGGGAGAGGGCCGGCATTCTTGACCGTCTGCGCGTTGAGCTTACGATAGTTGATGCACAACCGCAAATCCTTGTTCTTCTTCCGGACGAAGAGAACATGGCGAAGAGCTAGGTCGAATCCAGCCTTTCTCCAGAAGGTCGTCGAGTTGTGCCTGTAGCACACTTAACTCTTCCTCGCTCATTCGGTAGATGCAACCACGCAGAGGTACAGCCCCGTCCTCGAGGATGATCTCGTGGCGGATGGGCCGATCCGGTACTACTCCGTGCGGGGCCTCGAACACGTCACTATAAGTGGCGAGAAGCTCAGTGATGCGTGGGTCCGATGATGCGTCCGTCAATGGGGTGTCCTGGGGCGGGAGGGCGAGGAGAAAACACACCCCCATCTCCTCAATGTCATCCTTGATGATGGAACCTCAAATACTTGCGGCGGACACCACGTGACAGCTCATCGAAGGGTGAGGAGGAGGCACCGTGCATGGGACTAGTACTCCATCCCGGTCACGAACGTGAACGGTGCGGCGGTAGAAGTTCACCGGGTGGTCCTCACTTTGCAGCCATGACATGCCCAAAATCATGTCGAACTTAGTGTCCAGAATGTCGAAGGACACGGCCTCGCGTGCATGCGGGGTAAAATACACAGGGACGTTGTCAATGCACCGGTCAATTGACTTGTGAGTGTGACCATCAGCCAACGTCACGTGTGTCGGATGGGTCTTCCTCCTGACGCGTGGGCCAAGGCCAGCCCGTACCATGAAGTCCTCACTCATGTGGTTGCGAGTTGCACCGCAATCGATCAAGGCGCTGCAGGTCGCCTCTCCGATCTGAATGCGTACATACAACAATGGTGCGTCAATGTCGTCGTACCGTTGTCTTGAACTCGCGGTCGATCTTCGCGATGTACTCCTGAAGGTCGACAACCTCTACTCCGGCGTCCATCAACGGAATTGGTATTGCAGTGTGCAAATACTCCCGCAATTGTGCCATGAGCACATTGTAATGCCGTTTCGACAATCAACCGGTCGGGGGAACGGGCATCCACTGGAAGTCCGCGACTGTCAACGGGTCGAGCTCTTCAAGTCTTGACCACATCGACGAGTCCCCTGAGGTAAATGATGGCGGAACTGTCGAATCGGTTGCCGATGGAGATGAAACCGTGCATGCGGTGGAGTGTTGCACGTGGAGTGGTTGGTCCARCGGTGGGACCAAGTGGAYAGCATAGTCCTCGTAAGTGACACGAGAACTTGCGACATTCGCATCCTCCCCAGATGTGTAGGAGGCCGCTAGCAAGGCGGCCGGATCTGGCGGAGTGGGAGGTGGAGTCGCCTCACCTCCCGCGCTACTCAGTTTCCCGAGTTGTTGCRAGGCCGAACATCCTCCTTCTCCTTGTCCTGGCAGAGGGAGGTCTTGTGCTTGGTGCTATTGCACCAGTAGCGGCAGCCGTACCGACCACGGTACTTGTATTCGGCCTCTGTCAAGTTAAACTTGACCCATGGCGCTGGCTGTCCTGTTCCAGCCGATGATGCGATCTTCGCCTTCCCATTGTTTCGGGACTTGTTGGTGCTTCTCGGCTGGACAGCAGCCACCTGATCTCCTTCACTTGATGCCTTGGTGGCTGTCGGGTCGTCTCCACTGTCCGATTGGACTGCAGCGAAATGCTGCTGCCGCGGACCAGTCTTTACCTTCTCCACATAGGTTGGCTACCATGCTGATTTCTCGTGTGCAGCCGCCCTATTAGTCTTGATGATCTCCCTCGCTTTGTCGATGATCTCAGCGAAGGTTGAGTACTGCTCGCGATCACCAAGTGCC